GTGGGCAGGTGATCCCAGCGCTGGCTCTCTGAGCTTGGGAGCCCAGCCTGCAGTCCAGGCTTCACTCTCCTCAGGGGGAAGCTCCCACAGTCATGCCTCAACCTTGGCCTCCGCCTGTGAAAGAGTGCTGGCCCCTTTTGTGTCCCTGACCCTTCTACCAGTCTTGAGGCTGTTTCTGACCGTCCTTGGTTAAGTGTCTTCTCTTCAGGTAATCTTTAGTTGTTTATTTCAGGTGTTTCTTCCCCTATTTACTTTTATTTTCAGTTTGCTTTTGGGAGGCAATGTAAGACAAACCCTCCTGCTTTGGTGCCATCTTTTACATTTTTACTGGGTGAAGTAAATTTTTACATCTATTGGTAAGTAACCATAACAGAACAGGTACAAAGTGGACCCCAATGTCTCTGTGGGCAGAAACACTGGAAATGAGCCCTTTTAGAATATACTTATAGGAGAGAGAAGCTGAAATAGAAACAGTCAAGAAGAAGCTTCCAAGGAAGAGTTACAGACTCAAATTACAAACTCTTCTAAGATGCCCACAATACACTCCTGACATCTATACAGCTATACTACTGCCTCCCCAAAACCTACAGGACAGCAAATCTAGGGTCTAAAAAGACCAGAGCTCCTATTCTTTTTTTTTTTTTAAGATTTTTATTTATTTATTTTTAGGGAGAGAAGGGAGAGAGAGAGAGAGAGAGAGAGAGAGAGAGAGAGAGAGAGAGAGAGAGAGACACATCAATGTGCGGTTGCTGGGGGTTATGGCCTGCAACCCAGAAATGTACCCTGGCTGGGAATCGAACCTGGGACACTTTGGTTCCCAGCCCGCGCTCAATCAAACATAAATGTGTGGTTGCCTCTTGTGTGCCCCACTGGGGACGTGGCCCGCAACCCAGGCATGTGCCCTGACTGGGAATCAAACCAGCAACCTTTTGGTTCACAGGCCTGCACTCAGTCCACTGAGCCACACCAACCAGGCAGCTTCTATTCTACTGATCGTTCATCAAGTGCCAGACACTAAGCTTTGTAGTATCATCCCATTTACTCTCACAACAGTATGACACAGGTTATGTTTTCCTTAGAACCTAAGTACAGTAAAAATCAACATCACACAATTAAGTATCAGACTCAAAGCCAAAAATATACATGTTACAAGAGATGATTTCTACTTTTCCTCCCTTAGTTTTTTCTATATTTGAATTACTGACTACTTTTAGAAGTGGAAAAATTTTATAATAAAATAGTACATGCTAATAAAAAAATCAAACATCATAACTGCACAAAGTAGATGTAAACATTTTCTGTACTCTCATGCTCTAGAGATAATCACTGTTGACAACTTGTTCTAGGTCCTTCTAGACCTTTCCTAGGAAGTATTAACAATTAATGTACCTATTTTGCCCTGATTGGTGTGGTTCAGTGGATTCAGCGCCAGCCTGTGAACCAAAGGGTCACTAGTTCAATTCCCAGTTGGGGCACATGCCTGGGTTGCGGGCCAGGCTCCCCATTGTGGGGCATGCGAGAGGCAACCAAACATTGATGTTTCTCTCCCTCTTTTTCTCCCCCCCCCGTCTAAAAATAAATAAATAAAATATTTTTAAATAACAATTAATGTACCTATTTCAATAAAGAGGGGAAAAAATCTATATATCAGTCTGTATCCCTTAACTATATTAAACTAGTAAGAACTGATTTTTTTAAATGCCAATTCAGTAATCCATGAGGTAAAGCATTTTACCTAAACAGTACAAATGTAAGCAAAGAAAAGCCATTTTCCAAACCTAGGGACGTCACCTTGGGATTTTGCCAGATAAAATATTCTAAAAAGCACAGATACTTAAGAAAAGGAGAAAGAAAAGGATGGGAGGAAGATAGGGCCAAATAAAGTCTAGCAACCCAGTATAACAGTACAGCCAGTTTGTCACCACCTACCTACTCAAGAGCTGATTTTAACATCTATTTCCATGGCAGCTAGGCAATAAGAAAAGTGCCCTGTCTGGCAAATTTGAGTCACATAATCCAGAAGTTTGACTCTATATCATAAATTCAATATACTGTATCAACCTGCAAAACATCTTTAAATCATTAATTAATTGAGGAGGGATTACAGGGAATATTTATTGATTATCTGCAGATATCACAAACACAACTTTTAAGCAATCACAGTTCCATCTGCCTTCTAATGACATACAATATGTTCAAAACCCAGTAAAATATTTGAAAGTTTAAAAAGCAATATATAAACAAGAACCACTTACTGCCATCTAGCAACCATCTGGTCACAGGGAAAAAGTACACCGAACTTTTAAATCTGAACCTTGAAAGCTCACACAAACACCCACAGAGCTGACTGGAGTACACCTCTGTGTCCTGGGCCAAGGGGTTCTGTCCCCAGTTGCCTCTCAGAAGTCCTCAACTGAAGGGTTGGGGTGGGGCAGTGTAAAATCCTGCTGTTTGTTGTTGGCTGTGTGCCTGGAGGAGGTAAAAAACCCAAAAGAAGAAAAACCAAAAGCTCCAGGAGGCTCCGTAGGAGAAGGTAATGGAAGGCCCACTATCTCCATCTCATCCCAAGAGAAGGAAACTGGTTTCCAAGGAGGAGCTGGTTAGTAGTGATCTTGAGGAGACAACTGGCAGTGAAAGTCTTCCCAAGAGGAAGAACTCTTCCCCCAAAGAGGAACCAGTCAGTGACCTGAAGAGGCCGGAAACAGCAGTGTCCCCAAGAAAAAGAGGAAATTCTCTTCGAAGGAACAGTAGATCAGCAGTGGACCCGAAGCAGCCACTGGCAGCAGGAGCAGCAGCAGCTCCAAGAAACAGAAAGAGCTCTGGAAGCTCTCCCAGGAAGATGGGAATGCAACATCCCAATAAAAACAAACTCCCATGAGTTGGGGGGTAGGGGGAAACTCATGCAAGCATAAATTAAATTTTAAATAAAAACACAGTGAAATAAGACTTCATTTCTTTAGTTAGTGGTACAACATGCAAAGAAAGATGATGATATGCCAACCAGTAGCATTTTAAAAATGCCCCCAACATTATGAAACCATGTAAATACTTGACATGAAAAAAAAATTAAAAAGGAAAACACAGGGTAATCCCTAAAAAATAGAAGACAAACTGAAATAAATGACCTGTTTATCAACTGGCAGTATAAGCACAAAGGAACAATTATTATTTCAAGTCACTTTAAAATAAGTATTTTCTTTTTGTATCCCTATTGGAATACAACTGATGACAAAACAAAACACAAAGAAATTTTAAATTGCATTAATTAGTCTTACAAGACTAGTATTATAGCACAGACTGCCCTGGAGAGCATTATGCTAAGTGAAATAAACCAGTCAGTGAAAGACAAGCACCATATGATTTTATTTGTATGTGGAATTTAATGAATAAAATAAACAAGCAAAACAGAAACAGATCATAGATACAGTGAACAGACTTACAGCCATCAGAGGGGTTGGCGGCTGGGTGAAAAAAAGGTTAAGGGATTAAGCCAAAATAAAACAAAACAAAACAAAAAACTCATAGAAACAAACAGTATGGTGATTACAAGACGGAAAGGGGATGAGGGAGACAGAAGAGGGAAATGGGGGGATAAGTGGTAACAGAAAGAGACAACTTTAAGGTGGATAAAAGATTTAAATATAAGCTATGACACTATTAAAGTCCTAGAGGAGAACATAGGCAAGAAAATCTCAGATATTTCACACAGCAACATTTTTACTGATATGTCCCCCAGAGCAAGGGACATAAAAGAAAGAATAAACAAATGGGATCTCATCAAAATAAAAAGCTGCTATACAGCTAAAGAAAACAGTATTAAAATAAAAAGAGAACCAACTGTATGGGAAAACATATTTGCCAAGGACATCTCGGACAAGGGTTTAATCTCCAAAATATACAAAGAACTTACATGACTCCACTCTAAGAAGACAAGCAACCCAATTAAAAAATGGGCAAAGGACTTGAACAGACACTTCTCCAAGGAGGACATACAGAAGATCCAGAGACACATGAAAAGATGCTCAATATCGCTAGCTATCAGAGAGATGCAAATTAAAACCCCAATGAGATACCCCTTTATACCAGTCAGAATGACCATCATAAACAAAGCAACAAACAACAAGTATTGGAGAGGTTGTGGAGAAAAGGGACCCTAGTGCACTGTTGGTGGGATTGCAGACTAGTACAACCACTATGGAAAACAGTATGGACTTTTCTCAGAAAACTAAAAATGGATCTGCCTTTTGACCCAGCAATTCCACTGCTAGGATTATATCCTAAGAACCCTGAAACACCAATCCAAAAGAACCTATGCACCCCAATGTTCATAGCAGCGCAATTTACAATAGCCAAGTGCTGAAAGCAACCTAGGTGCCCATCAGTAAATGAATGGATCAAAAAAACTATAGTACATTTACACAATAGAATTCTATACAGCAGAAAGAAAGAAGGAGCTCCTACTCTTTGCTACAGCATGGATGGAGCTAGAAAACATTATGCTAAGCGAAATAAGCCAGGCGGTGAAAGACAAATACCATATGATCTCACCTTTAACAGGAACCTAACCAACAAAACAAAGAAACGAGCAAAATATAACCAAGACACTGAAATAGAGAACAGGCTGACAGTGTCTAGAGAGGAGGGAATTTCAGAGGAAAAGGGGGAGGGTTTACAGGAATAAATATAAAAGACACATGGACAAAAACTAGGGGCGGGTGGAAATGGGAGGGAGTTGGGGAGGGCCGGGTGGGTGGACTGGGATGGGAGTAAAAGATGGAAAATTGTACTTGAACAACAATGAAAATTTTAAAAAGACAACTTTGGATGGTAGGCACACATACAATATATAGATGATATATTATGGATCTGTACACCTGAAATCTACATAATTTTATTAACCAATGTCATCCCAATAAATCCAATAAAAACCTTTTTAAAAAGACTAGTACTGGTATTTCAAAACTTATATACGTGATATGTAATATATTAAAATTGTTAGGAACTAAGATTCTCAGCATAAAATTAAAGATACAAAAAATAATTTAAAGCTTGCTACAGCAACGGAGTCTAACCTATTCTGGCGCTCTCCTCCATGAGACAAGCCGTTACACAGACTTAGACAGTGTTGGGGGAGGGGGATAAATAAATAAATAAGTCAAAGTGTAATTTTTCATGGGAACTGGAAATATCAGTACAAAGTCATTTATCTTTCCCTTTAAAAACAAAGAAACAAAAACCACCTCATTTCCTGGGTCTAAACACTAAAAAAAGCCTAAAAGCAATACAAAACCAGTAGCAACGAACACCCCTAAAACCCTACTTGTGGTTTCTAAAAACCATCACCACTTGAGAATACCAAGGCTCCTTGAAGTAATATCTGACTCCAGGTCTGGGGCAGGAAATGTACAAGATGAATCTAAGCTCCTTGTGCCAGAAAGCAAGGAAGTTATCAAAAACTAAACGGATCATGTTCAAAAGAACACAGGAATCCATTTGAAGGGATCCAACTGGTCCAAGATAAGACAACTGAAATATCAAAAACAGCAACCACAATGGATTAAAACACATATAATACATTAAAATCCATGATATTTAAAAAACTAGAGTTTTCAGGAAGTACCATAAAGGACACATGGACAAAACCAAGGGGGAGGGTGGAAGCAAGGGAGGGAGGGAGGTTTGGCTGGGGTGGGAGGGAGGGGTGGGGAGAAAATGCAGACAACTATAATTGAATAACAATAAAGTAATTTTAAATAAATAAATAGAAAGAAAACAACTAAAAGAAAACAAAAAAGATTTCCTGGTCATTTTAGGAGGTTCCTAGGGCACAAACTCATTATTCCAAAAAACCAGCAAAGTGAGAAGAAAAATAATCATTTATCCTACACTTCTGTATTATAAAATCAATAAATATAGATGATGTCAAAAGAGATATAATTAGAACACCAGTTAGCAATCCTTATATAATGGATCAGTTAACAATCACTAGTGACTACTAAAACCAAGGAATGAAATAGGAACTTTTTAACAGATAGATAAGGCTGACAACACCTGAAACCACTAACCTGTCTTAGCAACACTAAAAGTGAATCAATCTAGCATTACATGTCAATTTAGAGGGGAAAGGAGGGAGAGAGGGAAACATCAATGTGTGGTTGCCTGTTGCGTGACCTCTACTGGGGACCTGTCCTGCAACCCAGGCATGTGCCTTGACTGGGAATCAAACTGGCGACCCTTTGGTTCACAGGCTGGCACTCAATTCACTGAGCCACACTAGTCAGGACAAATTTCCACAATAAAGTTTTAACAGTACAGCATATTTGTTACCCTGAAGTGTATTCATCTCTAATCCTCTACTCTTATTACCTTGAGTCTCCATAATTTGAATATCACCTGAATTTTCCAAAAATTTAAAACTTTATAATGTTTCAAATAAGATATTTACATTAGTCAAAAATTAATTACATCATATTAAATATATGTAAAAATTACCTGCATTATAAAGTCACTGTGCCTAGGCACTAGACTGAATTAAATATTTGTTTAGCAGATTAGTGCTTAGGTAGCATACTGTTCCATTTTAATTTTACTTGAGACTTAATTAGGACCCAAGTTTGTTTCATCAATACATAATCACAGCTAACACTGCAATCAGGACAAGTTAAGTTAGAACTCAGGGACACAGAGATGGGAAACTAAACCACACTGTTAACATCTGCCATGAAAGCTGGCTTCAATCCACACACACAGGCATTCCATTCACCAAAAGCTGTAGTCTTATAAGTCTCTCACTGTACTTCTACAGCCACCTTAATGTCTGAACCCAATCCAAGTTCATATATATAAAAAGGTTTTCAGTGTTTTTCTAGGGGGAAAAACTGCATTTTTAAAAATTATCCAAAAGTTTAATGACAACAAAAACTGAGAGTTCAGCCTAGTCAAAAATTAACACCAGACACTAACATATCAAGGAGCTGTATTAGGAACTTGTAGAAACACTTCTTGCGGATGAGGCAATCTGAATCCCGGTGCTGGTTTAGAAGTGGGGCAGTTCTCTAGGATATAATGGAAAGGAGTACTGGATTATGAATCAAGTGAGCCAAGTGAGAAGGTTGGACTACATCAGAGTTTGAATCCATAATTCTTATCTAGTGGTGGTTGGTAGGTTGCCTAAAGCACTGTCCTGGCATCTGAAAAGAGTCTTCAGAATCCCTGACAGCTTTTAAACATATAATACAAAAAATCTGGATGTGGAAAAGAAAAGAATGTGGCTTTATTGGGTATCTTTTTAATGCCCAACAGGAATTTAAGTATTTAGTCCAGTCCTTAAACACCCAAACGAACAGCTAAAGACTGTTCACCTTCCTCTACATCACTCCATTCCAGCTCTTCCATAAAAGAAACCCAGAAAAACTTCTAAGGGGAGAGAAACATTTCCCTTTGTTTTTTCACTCCACCCACCAAAGTAAAAGGTGGTATGGCTGTTAAGAAGGCAAGCTCCACAATGAACATCGGGGTACACAGCAGGTACAGCCACAATGGAAAACATACAAAGTTTCCTTAAAAAATTAATAATAAGACTACCATAGGATCCAGTAATTTTAGTTATTTCAAACCTAAATGTTAATATTCAATTGGGTTATTAGAAAACTTTTATGAATGTTTAGAACATCCGGTATATGTGAATCTACTTTTACAATGATAAATTTTATGAACTCAATACAGATCATGTATCTCCAATGAAAATTTAGACTTCAAATTAAAATATGCTACAAATATAAAGTACCAAACTTCAAAGACTTAATATGAAAAATGTAAATTATCTCAATAATTTTACATTGATGACATGTTAAATGACAATATTTTTGGATATTCCAAGTTAAACAGAATATTATTAAAATAAGTTTTCCTTTAAAAAATGCAGCTACTAGAACATTTACATGACAAATGGCTTGCATTGTATTCCTAATGACAGCACTGCTCTAAACAACACACCCTAGAGTCTGATACCCATCCACTACTTATCTCTTCTCCTATTTATCATTATTAATAACAATAATTAACATCTCTTGCTCACCAATATTAGACACCATGCTAAATGTTTTACATGAATTATTGCATTCAATCCTTCCAAAGTAGGAAGTAGGTTTTATCACTATCCTCATTTCAGAATTTTAAATTAAGCACCAGAGAAGCTGAAGTCATTTGCCCAACGTCACAAGTCAATAATAGTGCCGGGATGAGAATTGAGCCTGATTTGAAAGTGTGTACTCTTAATGATGGTGGGATTGTAAAGTGGAGTAACCACTATGGAAGACAGCATGACAGTTCCCCAAAAAATTCAGAACATAAGTATTATATGATCCAGAAATTCCCTTTCTGGATATTTATCTGAAGAATATGAGAACATTGATTTGAAAAAGATGTGTGTACCCTTATATTCACTGCAGCATTATTTACAATACCAAGATACGGAAACAACCTAGGTATTCTAAGATCAACTGCATAAAGAAGATGTGATATATACATATACATCCTCATATACACAATGGACTACTGTTCAGCCACAAGAAGAGATGAAATATCGCCATTTGCAACATGATAGATCTTGAGACCATTATGCTGAGTGAAATAAGTCAGCTAGAAAAGGACAAAAACCATATAATTTCACTTACATGTGTAATACAGAACAAAAAGGTAGCAAACTAACAAAGCAAAACAAAAACAAACTCACAAATTTAGACCACAAATGGTGATTACAAAAGGAGAAGTTGAGTGGAGAAAGTGGGAAATGCGTAAACAGGGTCAAATATATGGTAAGAGATGAAAACTATATTACTGAGAGAGAAACATCGATTTGTTGTTCCACTTCTGCATGCATTCATTGATTGATTCTTTTATGTGCCCTGACCAGGAATCAAACCCACAACTTGGGCATATCATGATGATGTTCTAACCAACTAAGTTACCCGGCCATGGCCTGAATTTTACACTATTAAAAAGACACTGCCCCCAAAACACATATTTTCCAGTAGAAAATTTCTATTCAATTCTCTTTTTATTAAACACCATAGAGAAAAAAAGGAACTAGGAAAGGGAAAAAAAATGTGGGGCTCCAAGGACAAAGACTGAACAAAACTATATGAATTTGGTTTTCAGTAACTAGGTGCACAGGTAATAGGTAATAAGCACTCTATTTTATGCCAGTGCAATGCACACTGACCACACAAAGTCTATCTAAATAATTAACAATTTGCCTTGGCTATTGTGGCTCAGTGGATTGAGCACCAGTCTGCAAACCGAAAGGTCATTGGTTTGATTCCCAGTCAGGGCGCATACCTGGGTTGCAGGCCATGTCAGGGGTATGCGAGAGTATCTCTCACACACTGATGTTTCTCTCCCTCTCTTTTTGCCTCCCTTCCCCTTTCTCTAAAAGTAAATAAATAAAATATTAAAAAAAAAACCACAACAATTTGAAGACACATAGTAAAGAGGCTCCCCCCCCCACCAATATATTACAGCTATTATTTTTGGCACTTATAAACCAAACATGGTAATAAGTATTCTGCATGTATGATCTTATTTAATTGATAACAAAACAACAAATATTATTTTCCCCATGTTTCATGTGCTGAAAATAAGGCTCAAAGAAATAAAATTGCCTAAGGTCATGCAACTAGTTAAGAGGCAAGCAGATTTATGGGAGTAAGTGGGAGAAAACTGTACTTGAACAATGATTAAAATAAAATTTAAAAAAAAAAGAGGCAAGCAGATTTAAATGAAACAAACCCTATTTCACTATATTACCTATCATCAGGGTGATGAGGCAAGTGACAGTGTAACCTGACACACATCACATCTTCTTTTGCTTCTAATACACCTCTGATGAAGTGTAACAAGAGTAGTGCTTGAAATTACCACTTCCATTAAAATGAGGCACTAATAGTTAACTTTTAAAAGGTTAGACAACAGCTCTGGCTATTGTGGTTCAGTAGATTGAGAGCTGGCCTGCAAACCAAGAGTCACTGGTTCGATTCCAGTCTAGGGTACATGGCTGGGTTGTGAGCCAGATGCCCAGTAGGGGGCGTGCAAGAGGAAACCACACATTGATGTTTCTCTCCTTC